CAGTCTTCACGAACAAGGTCAGCTCCCAGACTACTGCACTGGGCACCACAGCATGGGAAGGAGGTGACCAGCCCTCTGTGGGGAAAAAAGTGGTTCTGGACTATTTAGAAAAGCTGGACGTGCACAAGTCCATGGGGACGGATGCGTTGCATCCGAGAGTGCTAAAGGAGTTGGCGGCTGTGATTGCAGAGCCATTGGCCATTATCTTTGAAAACTCATGGTGATCAGGGGAGGTCCCAGACAACTGGAAAAAAGGCTAATGTAGTGCCCATCTTTAAAAAAGGGAAGGAGGAGGATCTGGGGAACTACAGACAAGTCAGCCTCATCTCAGTCCCTGGAAAAATCATGGAGCAGGTCCTCAAGGAATCAATTCTGCAAACTTGCTGAGGGTGCAATCCATGCCATCACTTAAAGGAGAGGAAAGTGATTAGGAACAGTCGACATGAATTCACCAAGGGCAAGTCATGCCTGACTAAGCTAATTGCCTTCTATGATGAGATAACTAGCTCTGAGGATGATGGGAAAGCAGTGGTCATGTTCTTCCTTGACTTTAGCAAAGCTTTTGATACGGTCTCCCACAGTATTCTTTCCAGCAAGTTAAAGAAGTATGCGCTGAATGAATGGACTATAAGGTGAATAGAAAGCTGGTTAGATCATCGGGCTCAACGGGTAGTGATCAATGGCTCCATGTCTAGTTGGCAGCTGGTATCAAGCGGAATGCCCCAAGGGTTGGTCCTGGGATCGGTTTTGTTCAATATCTTCATTAATGATCTGGAGGATGGCATGGATTGCAGATGACACTAAACTGGGAGGAGAGGTAAATACGCTGGAGGGTAGGGATAGGATACAGAGGGACCTAGACAAATTGGAGGAAATTGGAGGGCCAAAAGAAATCTGATGAGGTTCATCAAGGAGAAGTGCAGAGTCCTGCACTTAGGACGGAAGAATCCAATGCACCACTATCAGACTAGGGACCGAATGGCTTGGCAGCAGTTCTGCAGAGAAGGACCTAGGGGTTACAGTGGACGAGAAGCTGGATATGAGTCAACAGTGTGCCCTTGTTGCCAAGAAGGCCAATGGCATTTTGGGATGTATATGTAGGGGCATTGCCAGCTCATCGAGGGACATGATCGTTCCCCTCTATTCGACACTAGTGAGGCCTCATCTGGAGTACTGTGTCCAGTTTTGGGCCCCACACTACAAGAAGGATGTGGAAAAATTGGAAAGTGTCCAGCGGAGGGCAACAAAAATGATTAGGGGGCTGGAACACATGAGTTATGAGGAGAGGCTGAGGGAACTGGGGATGTTTAGTCTACAGAAGAGAAGAATGAGGGGGGATTTGATAGCTGCTTTCAACTACCTGAAAAAGGGTTCCAAAGAGGATGGCTCTAGACTGCTCTCAGTGGTAGCAGATGACAGAACAAGGAGTAATGGTCTCAAGCTGCAGTGCGGGAGATTTAGGTTGTATATTAGGAAAAACTTTTTCACTAGGAGGGTGGTGAAACACTGGAATGTGTTACCTAGGGAGGTGGTGGAATCTCCTTCCTTAGAAGTTTTTAAGGTCAGGCTAGACGAAGCCATGGCTGGGATGATTTAATTGGGGATCGGTCTTGCTTTGAGCAGGGGGTTGGACTAGATCACCTCCTGAGGTCCCTTCCAACCCTGATATTCTATGATTCTATGATGGGGGCCTCTAATAACAACTTCTTGATCAGGCCCTGCATGCATCCTCTGTCTATCTTCCCCTAGTTAATGCATCACACTGGGGCCTAGGCAGGAAGGCATCTGGGAAGGCATCTGGGAAACTAGGGTGAGGCAGTAGTGCACATGCCCAGAGTCAGAAACTTGGACACCTAGGGAATTTTACAGTGGAAATTTAGGTACTGTGTTTAGGTACCTACAGAGTTAGGGGGCAGCCAAGTGGGACATTTGTAGATGGCAGTGGTGCCTGAAACTGAGACTTAGGCACCTAAGTCTGCAGTATAGAAAGCTAAGTACCCTTGTGTATCTGGGCCTATATATATATATATATATATATATATATATATATATATATATCAGTAGTTTTCTTGGGACCAAAGTCTGCTCTGACTTACACTCTGTATAACCTCACTGGCTTTAATGAGGTTGCATGAGGTGTACAACAGCGCTGGTTTTGGACACAGAAGCTAGGCCACCTTTAATTTTATTCAGCTATTTATCAACACTGAAAATAATTCTGAGTCACTAAAAAGCCAAATATTGGCTTGAAAAAAATTTATGGAAAAAGTTGAAATTTCTGAAGCTTTTTTAAATCAATTAGAGACATTAATCTTTAGTGGGACAGTTTCCCTTAAGTCTACGACACTGCACTGAAAACATGCCACTTGCCTATAACACCTCATTTTTTAGAGTGCAACCATTTTTCTTTATCTCATTTTTCCCCTTAGGTTTTAGGAATGTAGAACACCCTGGGAAAAGTATATATTTTATGAAAATAGATTCATAGATTCCAAGGCCAGAAGGGAACAGTGTGATGATCTAGTCCAACCTCCTATATAACACAGGCCATATAATTTCCCCAATATAATTCCTAATATATGTGGGAACATTATATATTAAACTAAAGATCATTAACTGTTGATCCTTTTAATTTAATCACAAGACTAAAGTGAGCTTTAAACAATAATTACTGGAATGACCAAATTAAGTCCTCGTCTACACTGGGGGGAGAGCAGTGAGCTAAATTGGTCTAAGATATGCAATTTCAGCTATGAAAATAGCGTAGCTGAAGTCGATGTACTTAGAGCTACTTACCGTGGTGTCTTCACTGTGGTAGGTTGACTGCTGACGCTCCCCCGTCGACTCCACCTATGCTTCTCGCTCCGGTGGATTACTGAGTCGACAGGAGAGCGCTCGGCTGTTGAGTTATCGTGTCTTCACTAGACGTGATAAATCGACCCCCGCTGGATCGATCACTCTGGAGGTAAGTATAGACATGCCCTAAGGGTTGTCATTCTATTGATATTGGAGTAGGTCCTAAGCTAATGTAAAGTGGTGTAGCTCTATTGACCTAAATGGACTACACCAATTTACATGAGGGTATGTCTACACTACGAAATTAAGTCGAATTTATAGAAGTCGGTTTTTTAGAAATCGGTTTTATATATTCGAGTGTGTGTGTCCCCACAGAAAATGCTCTAAGTGCATTAAGTGCATTAACTCGGCGGAGCGCTTCCACAGTACCAAGGCAAGCGTCGACTTCCGGAGCGTTGCACTGTGGGTAGCTATCCCACAGTTCCCGCAGTCTCCGCTGCCCATTGGAATTCTGGGTTGAGATCCCAATGCCTGATGGGGCTAAAACATTGTCGCGGGTGGTTCTGGGTACATATCGTCAGCCCCCCGTTCCCTCCCTCCCCCCCCCCCCCCGTGAAAGCAAGGGCAGACAATCATTTCGCGCCTTTTTTCCTGAGTTACCTGTGCAGACGCCATACCACTGCAAGCATGGAGCCCGCTCAGCTCACTTTGGCAATTAGGAGCACATTAACCACCACACGCATTATTCAGCAGTATATGCAGCACCAGAACATGGCAACGCGATACCGGGCGAGGAGGCGACGTCAGCGCGGTCCCGTGAGTGATCAGGACATGGACACAGATTTCTCTGAAAGCATGGGCCCTGACAATGCATGCATCATGGTGCTAATGGGGCAGGTTCATGCTGTGGAACGCCGATTCTGGGCTCGGGAAACAAGCACAGACTGGTGGGACCGCATAGTGTTGCAGGTCTGGGACGATTCCCAGTGGCTGCGAAACTTTCGCATGCGTAAGGGCACTTTCATGGAACTTTGTGACTTGCTTTCCCCTGCCCTGAAGCGCATGAATACCAAGATGAGAGCAGCCCTCACAGTTGAGAAGCGAGTGGCGATAGCCCTGTGGAAGCTTGCAACACCAGACAGCTACCGGTCAGTTGGGAATCAATTTGGAGTGGGCAAATCTACTGTGGGGGCTGCTGTGATGCAAGTAGCCCACGCAATCAAAGATCTGCTGATATCAAGGGTAGTGACCCTGGGAAATGTGCAGGTCATAGTTGATGGCTTTGCTGCAATGGGATTCCCTAACTGTGGTGGGGCTATAGACGGAACCCATATCCCTATCTTGGCACCGGAGCACCAAGCCGCCGAGTACATAAACCGCAAGGGGTACTTTTCGATAGTGCTGCAAGCTCTGGTGGATCACAAGGGACGTTTCACCAACATCAACGTGGGATGGCCGCGAAAGGTGCATGATGCTCGCATCTTCAGGAACTCTGGTCTGTTTCAAAAGCTGCAGGAAGGGACTTTATTCCTAGACCAGAAAATAACTGTTGGGGATGTTGAAATGCCTATATGTATCCTTGGGGACCCAGCCTACCCCTTAATGCCATGGCTCATGAAGCCGTACACAGGCAGCCTGGACAGTGGTCAGGAGCTGTTCAACTACAGGCTGAGCAAGTGCAGAATGGTGGTAGAATGTGCATTTGGACGTTTAAAGGCGCGCTGGCGCAGTTTACTGACTCGCTTAGACCTCAGCGAAACCAATATTCCCACTGTTATTACTGCTTGCTGTGTGCTCCACAATATCTGTGAGAGTAAGGGGGAGACGTTTATGGCGGGGTGGGAGGTTGAGGCAAATCGCCTGGCTGCTGGTTACGCGCAGCCAGACACCAGGGCGGTTAGAAGAGCACAGGAGGGCGCGGTACGCATCAGAGAAGCTTTGAAAACCAGTTTCATGACTGGCCAGGCTACGGTGTGAAAGTTCTGTTTGTTTCTCCTTGATGAACCCCCCCGCCCCTTGGTTCACTCTACTTCCCTGTAAGCTAACCACCCTCCCCTCCTCCCTTTAATCATTGCTTGCAGAGCCAATAAAGTCATTGCTGCTTCACAGTCATGCATTCGTTATTCATTCATCACACAAATAGGGGGATGACTACCAAGGTATCCCAGGAGGGGTGGTGGAGGAGGGAAGGAAAATGCCACACAGCACTTTAAGCACAGCACTTTAAAAGTTTACAACTTTAAAATTTATTGAATGACAGCCTTCTTTTTTTTGGGCAATCCTCTGTGGTGGAGTAGCTGGTTGGCCGGAGGCCCCCCCACCGCGTTCTTGGGCGTCTGGGTGTGGAGGCTATGGAACTTGGGGAGGAGGGCAGTTGGTTACAGAGGGGCTGCAGTGGCAGTCTGTGCTCCAGCTGCCTTTGCTGCAGCTCAACCATACACTGGAGCATACTGGTTTGGTCCTGCAGCAGCCTCAGCATTGAATCCTGCCTCCTCTCATCACGCTGCCGCCACCTTTGAGCTTCAGCCCTGTCTTCAGCCCGCCACTTACTCTCTTCAGCCCGCCACTTACTCTCTTCAGCCCTCCACCTCTCCTCCCGGTCATTTTGTGCTTTCCTGCACTCTGACATTATTTGCCTCCACGCATTCGTCTGTGCTCTGTCAGTGTGGGAGGACAGCATGAGCTCGGAGAACATTTCATCGCGAGTGCGGTTTTTTTTCTTTCTAAGCTTCACTAGCCTCTGGGAAGGAGAAGATCCTGTGATCATTGAAACACATGCAGCTGGTGGAGAAAAAAAAAGGGACAGCGGTATTTAAAAAGACACATTTTATAAAACAGTGGCTACACTCTTTCAGGGTAAACCTTGCTGTTAACATTACATACATAGCACATGTGCTTTCGTTACAAGGTCGCATTTTGCCTCCTCCCACCGCGTGAACGGATTTTGGTTGAATGCCAGCAAACATACACTGCAATGCTTTGTTCTACAGTGATTCCCGAGTACGTGTTACTGGCCTGGAGTGGTAAAGTGTCCTACCATGAAGGACGAAATAAGGCTGCCCTCCCCAGAAACCTTTTGCAAAGGCAGAACCGCAAATGCCAGGGCAAAGTAATCCTTTCACATGCTTGCTTTTAAACCATGTATAGCATTTTAAAAGGTACACTCACCAGAGGTCCCTTCTCCGCCTGCTGAGTCCAGGAGGCAGCCTTGGGTGGGTTCGGGGGTACTGGCTCCAGGTCTAGGGTGAGAAACAGTTCCTGGCTGTCGGGAAAACCGGTTTCTCCGCTTGCTTGCTGTGAGCTATCTACAACCTCCTCCTCATCATCTTCTTCGTCCCCAAAACCTACTTCCGTATTGCCTCCATCTCCATTGAAGGAGTCAAACAACACGGCTGGGGTAGTGGTGGCTGAACCCCCTAAAATGGCATGCAGCTCATCATAGAAGCGGCATGTTTGGGGCTCTGACCCAGAGCGGCTGTTCGCCTCTCTGGTTTTCTGGTAGGCTTGCCTCAGCTCCTTCAGTTTCACGCGGCACTGCTTCGGGTCCCTGTTATGGCCTCTGTCCTTCATGCCCTGGGAGATTTTCAGAAAGGTTTTGGCATTTCGAAAACTGGAACGGAGTTCTGATAGCACGGATTCCTCTCCCCAAACAGCGATCAGATCCCGTACCTCCCGTTCGGTCCATGCTGGAGCTCTTTTGCGATTCTGGGACTCCATCATGGTCACCTGTGCTGATGAGCTCTGCATGGTCACCTGCAGCTTGCCACGCTGGCCAAACAGGAAATGAGATTCAAAAGTTCGCGGTTCTTTTCCTGTCTACCTGGCCAGTGCATCTGATGGAGCACTCTGGGATAATGGAGCACTCTGGGATAGCTCCCGGAGGCCAATACCATCGAATTGTGTCCACAGTACCCCAAATTCGAGCCGGCAACGTCGATTTAAGCGCTAATCCACTTGTCAGGGGTGGAGTAAGGAAATCGATTTTAAGAGCCCTTTAAGTCGAAATAAAGGGCTTCATTGTGTGGACGGGTGCAGGTTTAAATCGATTTAACGCTGCTAAATTCGACCTAAAGTCCTAGTGTAGACCAGGGCTCAGATGAGGCTCTGGTCCATTGACTTCAGCCTTCATATTTGTTTTTCCCTGCTCAATGTCTACTTTTGACTGCCAGCAGTCTTTGTTATCTCTAAATTATCTTTGTTGCTTACATGACAATCTGTCAACAGTCCCACAATATTATCCACCATTTTCCAAAATCTTAACTTTCTGATTCTCCAACTTGTTACAAATTAAAAAACTAAAAACAAACAAAACACACACACAAGCCCAATAACAAAAAACCCAAACATGACTGACCAATTAATTGGAGTAAACTGAAAGCTTAATAAACTGAGATTTTCAGGAAGATAAGAGCAGAGTTGCCAAAAAATACTACTAATGTCTCGAGTCAAATCATAGAAATGAAAGACTGGAAGTGACCTTCCAGTCGGTCATCTAATCCCCTGCATTGAAGTAAGACTAAGTATTATCTAGACCATCCCTGACAGGTGTTTGTCTAACCTGTTCTTGAAAACCTCCACTGATGGAGATTCCACAACCTCCCTAAGTAATTTGTTCCAGTGCTTCACTACCCTTATGTTTAGGAAGTTTTTCCTAATTTCTAATCTAAATCTTCTTGGTGCAGTTTAAGCCCATTACTTCTTGTCCTGTCCTCTATGGTTAAAGAGAACAATTTATCATCCTCCTCTTTATAACAAACTTTTCCATACTTGAAGACTGTTATCATGTGTCTCCCCCCACCAGTCATCTCTTCGCCAGATTCCCCTCTGTGACATCTGTGTTACCTCATTGGCTACAAGGTTATGCAGATGTAACAGAAAGTAGAATCTGATAATTCTGTACAAGTAGATTTCCTTTATTACAAACACTTTGTCTTGTATAGGGGAGCAAGTTTTTTGTTTGATTGTTTTTTTTAATATTATTACAGAAAATATGTCAACATATAAAAATGGAAACTTGGTTTCCTGGGAGAATATATTTCCATCAAATAAAATGTAAGCTGCACCCTCCCTCCCTCTGAACAAAGGAACTACGTTTTCCTCCCCCGCTCTTTTTCTGACAATCACCCTAACCACCATACTATGACCTGGCTGGTTTAAATTTTGGCATTCAACCCCTGACCTCATGCCCAGAATACTACTTTCACACTCACACAGTTGAGGATTTTCATAAGCTTTCCCCAAAAAGCTTTGAGTCTGTGTATCCTATAACCAGAGCTTACCTCATACTCTCACTGGATGTGAAGACAAAATAAGACTAAGGTGCATTTAAATAAGTAATTATGGTTCAATGAAAAAATTTAAAGACTCAGATTACATGAGGAAATATTCCACATACATAGTGAGGGCATCACTATGCCTTAGAAGCCTTAATTCCATAAAACGCATTAGATGCAGAAAAAACATGTACTTGAATTAGGCTAATTAAACAACAATTAAATTATGTGGCTTCAGTGGGCTAACTATTCAAAATTGTTTCCCCTTTCTCATTTTCTTTTAACCCTGACATACCAACACTGTAATTAGGAATATCAGACTATCACCTATACCAGTTAAAATAATGTATTTCATTTCCATTCATTTCTCTATCTATACTTCCTCTCACAGCCCTAAGATAAAATCATAGCATAGCTATCAGTTACACTTTAACAAGGGTATTAGAATCGATACCCATTACTAAACATTTCATCTGGAGATACAGTATCTTCCAACAGCATCCTTACGGGTCTCAACAGCATTTATAATTGTGTTTCATTCTGTCAGTATGTTGAATTTTTTTATGATACTTTTCAGAATTCGAGAAACAGCAATTACACTAGGGTCACTTCCAGAAAAAGCAATTATACTCCACCAAATTATTCATCCTTATTTAACAAAGTATTGCTATATGATTGCAGGGACAAAATCAATTATTTTGTTGGCTATCAGTGCTGGAGGTGCTAGACAAGATGTGAACCCAAGCACACTATTAAATGTACGTGGTAGGGCTCCAGCTTCTGAGCATGCGACTATATCAGAATCTCATCTTTCATTTAAAAATTTTTCTAGCTCTCATGTTTGTGAAGAAAAGCTTGACAATGTGCCCTGAGCAAACTAAGGAGTAATGCCTGCCTGAATCTGCAGACAGCCTGAAAAAATAGCTCTCAGAGGCATGAAGTGGCCCATTCATCTCAACGGAGTGTTAACTCTGCAACCTCATTGTGAACATGAGGCCCTGCCAATACCACCTCACAGATGCCTGTATGGAGAAGGGGTCCTTGCTGAAGCCACTGCAACATGGCTCTGTTAGTGTGGTGTTGACTGTGATCGCCCCCCCCCCACACACACACACAGAGTGAAAGCTCTGATGGAGTGTCTGTGGCTGAGTCTTCCTTCCTCCAGGACTGACTGCAGGCTGCCTGAAGGCAGGTTTGGAGAGGTGAAAGGCCCAGTTGGCCCATACATGAGTGGTGGTGGGCTCCCCCAGGAACTCAACAGATTGCTGTGCTGTGGGTAGACCCTACCACAGCCACCGTAAGAAGGGATAGAGTCAAAGCACCACAGCAAGGTCATAAGGGAGTGAACCTAAGATTGCTTTAATCTGGATCTGAGAGCATGCCACCACTTTGTGGGTGCAATGTCATTTTTTTCCAATTCAAGCATTAGCTAAGAACTATTTATTATTTATTTAATCATATACAGTGCTTTGAGGCTTCCACAAGGTACTATACTTATTAGTAAATAGTAATAAATTAAAAAATGGGTATCTATCAGAAGCCTCCTAATCCCGAACATTGTCTTTTAAAATAAACCATTCTATCCAGTACAACAATTGCTAAGCCTTTTTTCAGCAGAAGTTGTGTGATATCATATAGCCAACTATGAAATTCTCATACTGCTAATGGAGCAACCCAGGGTAATCAGGTAGCATGTGAGTTGTTGAAACTTTAATTTTAAGTTAAATGGCTTTCCTCTGGGGCAAGAAGTGAAAGGAGATGTTTAATATGTACATTTCATCCCCGAGAAACATTGCAGACTGTGTGGGTGTATTGACAAAAATATATGCATGGAAGGTTAATCTACTGGCTTTATCTCTATTAGCTCAAGGAGGGAAGCAGACTGACACAGCTGGCTATAGCCTTGAAGGATCAGAATGTGGAATTATGTGTTAGCAAAGCCCTAGTGATGATTGCCCATTCAAGCAGGAGTATAGCAGACAGAAAGTAACTCATATTGAATCATTTAGCTAATTGAATGTCACCATTCTTTTTTTTTTTTGAGGGGGGGGAAATTCTCCATGAGCAGTTTGCTAGCAATTTGCTATTTTCTCAGATCTATTTTTTATTATTCAAAATTATTCACTGCATTCTCTGTCTGTTGCTTGGTCATGAGCAACTGATTGCAAAAGGTGAATTTAACCAACAGTTGCCTATACAAACTTAGAATCTTTCTGTTTCGGGCACTAGCCCAAACAAGAGTAGGCTGTGACACAGATAATCCCTCAAATGCCATCTGGCAGAGGGCATATCATGCCATAACTCTCATCAGGCCTGACACACTCATTGCCTCCAACTCACTGTTTTCATAATGTCTACATAAAAGATATTGTGTAAGGAGTCATATGCAAACTGGTAATATGTGGTCATTAATATTATTGCATGATGTACATACGTATAGATGATATGTAAAGAATTATAGGTGTGTTCTGGAATATATTCCCAAAATGTGTTAGGCTGGTTTTAGGCAGTGCCTGCCATCCTGGACAAATAAGGTGGGTGAGGTAATATCTTTTATTGGACCAACTTCTGTGGTGAGAGAGACAAACACACACAGAAAGCTTGTCTCTCTCACCAACAGAAGTTGGTCCAATAAAAGATATTACCTCATCCACCTTGTCTCACTTATATCCAGGGACTGACACAGCTATAACTACACTGCATACAATCCTAGATTAAGGAATTGTCTCCCAGGCTTAATTGTCCCCAATATAAAGTAAGCAAAGTGAGGCCAAAGACCATAAAAAGCATATTTGCAAGTCAGGTAAACAAAGTAATCAGACAAGCAATTGGGGGATAATGACCGCTTAACAATCTCAATGGGGGATGAAGACTGCACCCCCAGGAAGCCTTCCTACCTCTTGAAACAGGTTCTGCAAACTTTGGGAAGATGCAAACAGTGGCAAAAGGCCAGTTTTGTCATCCATCACTGGACGTCAATAAGGGGACAGAGCTCTTATAATCTGAGAAAGTTGGATCCTTCAACTGAGGGGCTTGGAGTCTCTGAGAATTGAATATAGGTGAGAAACCTACATAAAATATTGTAAGTTTTAGTCACCTGAAAACATGGTTTGTTTTATTTGTAACAATATCAGTGTCTTCTGTCCTTACTTATTATCACTTACCTCTCTTTTCCTTGTTAGTAAATTTATTCTTGTTTTATTACAAAACTATTTCAGGGCTGTGTACTAATCTGAATGTTAAAATCCTCAGCCAAACTAACAGGCTGGTGTGTGTTCTGTCTCTTTAGAGGCAGCAAATTTGATAACTTCAGTGAGAGTCCTGTGAGATGGACTGAACACTGCAAAAAGACGTCTCTGGGAAACTCAGGGTTCATTGATTGTTACCTGCAAGACAAGGTTTGGACTGGCAGACTTCTAAGGAGTTTGCTAACAAGGCAGACAAGCTGGCGTGTCAGGGAGCTGACTCATATCCTAGAGAATATCACTCTTGCTGAGGCAGAGTTATAACACAGTGACTCACGGTTCTAGGTGACCTG